GCTGAAACATTTGGCTGGAGCATTCAGAGGCTACTCGGTTCGAGTTATCTCTGGGTCGGGTCAAATCCAGGTCGTTGTAAGGCCTGAAAGAGAAATAAAAAATAGAAATATTAATAATAATTAATAATATAATAATAAAAAAAATGAGACGAAAAATGAGTGTCGACAGATACCATATGGAAGAGGTATCGATACCTATGTGGAGGGTATAGATACCCGGGAAACTTCGAAGCTAATTTTAGTATCGGTACCTGGGTAGGGTATCGGTACCCTAGCATAGAGGTATCAGTACCTTGGGGGTGGTACCGATACCACTTAAGTTGGAAAGTTGAAATTAGAGTTTTAATTAGTTATATTGATATGAATCGTATTAAGTAGTTCGAATCTCGATATTCATTAATTTCGTATTCGTATAGATATTGATCGAAAGCAAAGTTCGGATAAGCTGTCAGATTGAGATTCGCAAGAAAGAATAAGAGATTGGTAGTGTCCATTGAGACCCAGGTGCGTACACGATGATAAGAGTAAGTTATGCTATGAAATTAAGACGTGTGATAAGTCTAATTCCTATATTAGGTGGCATGAGTATGTGAATATAAGCATATAGGGATATGAGGCTTAAATGTATCTGAGTCCATGCATATGTTAAAGGTAAGTGCATTTCTATATGTGATTTTATATGAATATATGATAGCATGAGTCGAAGCATGATTAGGATTGTGTACTATGTGAATGTGCCTTGTTTGTATTACATGTTATGTGATATGCATTTATGTGATATGTAACACCCTGACCCGTACCTGACCCGAATACGAGTCCGAGATGTTACATTGACTTTTTAAAACAATATTCTTACAAAATAATAAAATATTTGAACTCATATTAAGAAAATACAATAATATTCTATTAAAGTATGCTTCATTATAAAAATTTAAGTCAAAAACTTATTTATGAGCAGTAAAATATGATATGAACAATACCGTATGAACAATAATGAACAGTACTGTGAACAGTACCGAATTCTAAAAATTTTCTAGATTGCTTCAGGGGTATCGATTCCCCTGCTACAGGGAACCGATACCCTGCTACAGTACTGCTACAGTACCTCGGTAAAACATGTATAAAACTTATAAAATTTAAAACGTTCATCATTATACATTTACCATTTACATATATATGTTTAAAACATTCCAAAACTCGATCAGAGCGTATCCAATATAATTCTTTTTTATTATATGCCAACTAAATTCTTTCTAACAAAATACATGTAATTCGATCTACATTTCTGATCTGATCTTCGGTAAGGAGAGCTGACATGTCTTGTTCCTCTTTACTTCTCTTTTCGTTTTCCAAACCTACGTGTGAAACAATCACACGCTAAGTCGATGACGTAGTGAGGCATGAAATCATGTAACATTACTATACTCATAGCAATGTATAAATAATTAATACTATCATATCATATAAAAACATATATCATTAACATGCTTTTCAATACTCATATTATTGTTACTAATTCCTTGTGATCATATAACATGTTGAACATTTACATATCATAGAACACATATCATTTCACAAAGAAATACACATAGCATCCTATAATTCATGCAATACATTTCATATCACCACAAGCATATGCATCTTATATATTGTATTTGTTATTGTCTCTTATCAGCCCATGTACATTATTGAGAACTTAAGGAATTTGATTACATTGAGGTTGTGCACTATTGCTGTCACCACAGCTCGTACAAGTCCCACTGAGTGGCATATGAATTTTTTTCCCGAAGGATCGCGTAGAAATTTGCATCGAAGTGTCGCGTAGAATTGCACCGTAGTGCCATATAAGATTTGTCCATAAGGACCACATGGAAATTCCTTAAGAATCATATACATATACCAAAGATCAAGTAGGTGTCTTAAAAGACCTCATACATGTTCCAAAGAATACATATATGTCTCGGAGGACCACGTAGAATTGTCTCGAAGGACTGCATGGACCCTCTACTCTTGGCATGCCAACTATACCCCTAGCTCTCATATCACATAACATGGACATTATCATTTATGTCATTTCACATATTTATATATGCACATAGTTCACTTACATGTAGAACATTTTCATATGATTCACTTTCACATATCACATATCTTATATCTTGTTCTTATGTCGTCTCATAGACATATCATTTCCATACCTTTATCACATAGCTCATATAATTTTTCCTGCATATCCATGTCACATATTTCATATTACTTTTCATGGAATCACGTAGGTTGTTTCATATGGCTTATATCATTTCTCCTTTGTTCATATACATATGTCATATATACATCTCCTTTGTTCACGTTGGCTCTAGCTACAAGGTAAGTTGAATTTTTATTGTTGATTTCTTGAATTTCCAAGTGGGTTTTGATTCTTTGGGTGTTAAATAAGCTTAAGGAAAGCTTATATGAGATTTAAACAATAAGATGAGTGAATTAGGAAGGGATTTGTAAAATGAGTTTTAAGATGAATTTTTTTATATGGTTTGGTTTTTAGAGTTTTGATGAGATTTTTAACTTGCAATAAGAAGGATTAAGAAGTTTAAAGCATTAGAATTGAATTTAGAATACAAGGAAAGTTTGATGAAATTCTTTGATTCAAGAGTTATAGTGAGATATTGAGGATAATGAAGTGTTATAGTGTTTAAAGAGGGTTTACATATGTATAGATAAATTTTAAGGCATAAAAAGAGGTTAACAAGTAGAATTTGGGGGCAAAGTGTTAAATTTTCGGGCTTAAAAATGAAAATCTGGGCAAGGGGTATCGGTACTTGTTGAGTGGGTACCGATACTACAAGGCCATTTATGGGGAACTGATGCATGGGGTATCGATACTTGTATGAATAATATCGATACTATATGAAAGAGGTATCGATACCTATGTGGAGGGTATCGATACCCAGGAAACTTCAAACCTAATTTTGGTATCGGTACCTGGGTAGGGTATCGGTACCCTAGCATAGAGGTATCAGTACCTTGGGGGTGGTACTGATACCACTTAAGTTGGAAAGTTGAAATTAGAGTTTTAATTAGTTATATTGATATGAATTGTATTAAGTAGTTCGAATCTCTACATTATTTAATTTCGTATTCGTATAGATATTGATCGAAAGCAAAGTTCGGATAGGCTGTCAGATTGAGATTCGCAAGAAAGAATAAGAGATTGGTAGTGTCCATTGAGACCCAGGTGCGTACACGATGATAAGAGTAAGTTATGCTATGAAATTAAGACGTGTGATAAGTCTAATTCCTATATTAGGTGGCATGAGTATGTGAATATAAGCATATAGGGATATGAGGCTTAAATGTATCTGAGTCCATGCATATGTTAAAGGTAAGTGCATTTCTATATGTGATTTATATGAATATATGATAGTATGAGTCGAAGCATGATTAGGATTGTGTATTATGTGAATGTGCCTTGTTTGTATTACATGTTATGTGATATGCATTTATGTGATATGTGTTATTTGATAATGATATATGAAACAATAGAAGAATGTTACCTGAGCTACTTGATAATAAGTCATAAGATTACATGCATATGTAATATAAGTTATAAGATGAGAAAATATGTGTTTATATATACATGTGGTCTATATGAATGTAGGTATGTGTGATAAATGACGTGACTCTATTAGAATGTTATATGATATGCTATGTATGTTAAATGATATAATTGAATTATGTAATTGTATAAGAAATGATATGAATTATGTGAGAACATATATATGTGAAAATATGTTTATAAGATAAGAACCATGACCATGAGCTATGTGAAAATGAATACAAGTAAATGTGAGAAGCTATGTGATACTTGAATGTGAAGTATATGGAAATGTGCTACGTGAAAGTAAACTATGTGCCTATGTGAATATGTGAAATGATATAACAGATAATGCCCATGTTATGTGTTATGAGAGCTATAAGTATAGTTGGCATGCCAAGAGTCGAGGGTTCTACGTGGTCCTTCGGGACATATGTGTTCTATGTGGTCATTCGGGACATATGTGTTCTATGTGGTCATTCGGGACATAGTGGTCCTTCGGAAAAAATTCTACGCGCCCCTAGTGCGAATATTACGAGCTGTGGTGACAGCATATGTGCACAACTTCTATGTACTCACATACCTTAAGTTCTCAAAAGTATACATGGGCTTTAAAGATAATAAATCACTTGCTATGATAATATGTGTGTTTCTTTGTGAAATGGTATATGTGCTATATGATATGTATAAATGATAAGTTCATGTTAATAATAATAATAAGTGCATATGTGTATTTGTTATATGAGATTATATGTGCTTGTGTATGATATGATAGTAGTAATGGTTCATGCATTGTGGTGAATTGGGGTCTAGGTTATATGTTTTTGTCAAGCATTTACTCATATGATAGGAAGGAAATTAGTGATAATAAAATGAGTAATAATAAGCATGTTAATGATGGGTTAAGTATGTATATAAGTATGATGTTATATTGCATGATATGTACATACATTTGTTAGTTTGCATATGTATTTACATGACTCACTAAGTCTATGATTTAGCGTGTAAGTGTCTTACGCGTAGGTGTTGATAAGCAAGAGGATCAAGCTTAGGACCAGCAGAACAACATATCTCCACTCGAAGATCAGATCAAAAATATTTTGTAAAATATGTCTTGTTATGTAATTTAGTATGTTGGCATGTAAACAAAGTCTTTAAGTATGTACGCTCTGATGGAGTTTGATAATGTTTTGAACATGTTTATATAAAAGAATAACTTTATAGAATGGAAGTTTTAAATTTTCTATGGTTTTTATAAAAGTACATGTTTTGAATAGTTAATGTGACATCTCGGATTCGTATCCGGATCGGATATGGGTGGGTGGTGTTACAATAATATTTCATTTTATTACCGATATCACTCGATGAGTTCAGGCATGAACCTTTAACAACTGCAAATTCCGTAGGAAATGATAGAATATAGGAACTACGAATCCTTATCTTTGATTCCATTCGGTTGATGAAATAAAAGTAAAAAAAGGAGGAAAATGAAGTAGAGAACGGGGACTAAGAGACTGGATGAGATAAACCTTCCACACCAAAGTTGATGATAAACTTCATATGACCTTTCACTCAGCTGAAGGTCTCCACAAGCCTGACAACGTCCACTGAAGAAACTCCAACTCTTTCACATCATTTCGAGTCTGAGTTGCAGAGACAAAGTGAGTATGACAGTCAAAGGTCAAAAGTGCAAAGGCTATGCAAAGAAAATCAAAATGATGCATTTGGGATATGTTAACGGCCTTCCATTTTTCTTGGATTTATTCCATCATGCAGAAGTTTCTCATGTCCTTTTGAATTTAAGGAAAATAAAGAATCCAATGTGTTGGAACATTTCTGGTGTGTTGCTATTGCATGTTCTGATATCAGCTAAGGAAACAAAGAACTCATGCTCAGGTGCCTAGACCTACATATCATTGTGAAAATTTGGTAAATAAACGTACCTTTTCTCTGTATAATCCTTCTATGGTGGTATTAAGGTCCTTATCTGTAAAAGGTCTGTCTCCGTCTTCTGTAGGATGTACTCTTTTTAGCAATGGTGTGCTTATTTCTCCTTTACAAAAAAAACTGAACTCTGGGCATTCAGTTGCAACTAAATCAACCAAAGACGGGAACTCAAAGTGATACTTCCCTGAGCAAAAACTTGTAAGCACCGGTAAGCTTTGAAGTCTGAAATACTCCAGATGCTTGAAAATGATGCTGTACGTTCCATTATCTGCATCTGCTATGACTCCTTCTAGCTTTCTGCAATCTGTTATCATCATCCTTTTGAGTTGCACCATGGTTTTAGCTGTTGAGGGTGTTATTAGAGTACTAAGTCCATGACATTTTGATATTTCAAGAGTAGTTAGATTTTGGAAACACGCTGTGGATGAAACTAAATGCTTGAATTTGGGGCATTCCAATACTTTTAGAGTTTTCAGGTTTTGAAAAAGTATTCGAGGTTGAGGCTGAAACTCTTCCTTCCAGAGTTGCATTAGCTCGGGAAGTTTTGACAATCGTAAATCACTGAAACTAGCCAGTTCCCATGCCTGCATATTTCCCTCAATGCCTTCACGCTGAAATATTTCAGCAAAGGAAGCACCATCAACAACAAGCCTTTCAAGCTTAGACAAGGACAGAAAGAAATCAGATGGAATAACATCTGGCTGCTTAGGTAAGCCCATGAGCTTCAAGACTTTCAGTTTGGAGAATGAAGTCATGGAAATTTCATTACAAAGTTTACTCAGGTTTCCCATGTCTATGATTCCTAATTTCTCCAAGGAGGGAAATGCCACCTGCATAATTATAAGATTTGCATCAATAACTTAACAGAAGTGGAGATAAAGGTATAGTAAAGGAGTTTTGATAACCTTCTCATCACATAGAACTGTCAAACTGGTATTTAGATTCTGTCTTGAGTTGTTTCTAGTTGCAGAACTGGAGATGAATGTCTTCAACATAGGGCAACTCTGAATCCAAAGTTCTTTCAAGAAGGGGAACTCGAGGTAATTTCTGGAGCAAAACCTTGTGAGATGGGGGAGAGCAATAAGCAATAAAGTGACTAGTTTAGGGAACATTTTCTTGCTCATCCTTTCTTTTTTTGGTAATCCTTTTGTGATTATTACCTCTTCCAACATCTCACAATCAAGAACCTCAAATTTCTCAAGATGCACAAGGTCCATGGCCATGGAAGGATTAAATAGATATCTCGAGTTCCTGCAGTTGTAAACTTTCAGAAACCTAAGGTTTTTAAAGTCCAAAATTCCTTGTGGATTCCAGTTCCTTATTTCCATCAGCTTGGAAAGAATCATGGAGTACCACATACTCGATCTCACGGCAGTGAATCTATAAAAAGCAACACATTACAATACCGAAATAATTTCATTAAGAGAAGGCTTTCCAATAACCTTCTTGTTTCCTGCAAAACATGGGAATGAAGCTACAGAAAAGTAACCATGAGGATAAAAGCTTGGGATCAATGCATACCGTTTCCATGTACAAAAGTTGTATGGTGGTGTTCTGGTCGCCTTCCCAGTGGCCTTCACCTGCAGCTTCTGTTGAATATGCTGGTTTTAGTTTTGGTGCCATAAACCATACCTGAGGAAAAATGTTCATCTTTGGGCAATGTCTCAAGGTTACAGTTTCCAGCGAAGGGAATGCAAAGGTGCAGTTTCCTGAGCAAAAGGTTTCCAATTTTGGCAGACAACTGAGTCCCAAACACTTTAACTGAGTGAATTCGATCCCTTCCTTTACTTCATCGCCTGAGTATTCTACAATTTCTTCTATCATTTTGCAATCGATTATGCTCATTCTGGTAAGCTGCACCAGGCTTTTAGCTGTGGAGTGTGCGAATAAATGTTTGAGTCCTTGACACCTCGACACTTCTAGAGTTGTCAAATTCTCGAAAGACACTGAGGGTGGCACTAAAACACTTAATTTACCACAATCCTGCACTTGTAGAACTCTCATGTTAAGGAAAATTTCTCCAGGATTGAATCTTTCCTTCCAAAGACTTGTCAGCTCATGGAGTTTGGATAACCTCAGTATGCTTAACTGAGCAACTGGCCCTTCCAGATTTTCATCACCCCCAAGTTCTCCGCATATGAATATTTCATTAAAGGAAGCATTACTAACAACAAAAATTTTCAAGATCAGATAGTGACCGAAAGAAATAAGATGGAAGAACAGTCAGTGCAGGAAAATTTATGAGCTCCAAAACTTTCAGTTTAAAATACCCTTCTGGGAGTTGTCCATGCCATATCTCTTTCATAGTGGCATTGCATTCCAATCTCAGTTCTTCTAAACAAGGGAATGTGCCCTGTTCAGTCGAAAAACGTGTTAAACCGAGGCAAGAATTGCTAATCAGAGAATGCTTATGGATTAAATGCAGATTGATTTATGGTGAAAGTAGAACATGTTCATCTGCTTTTACTAATTTCACATACCTTATTGATCCAAAACAAGAGATGCAGTCCTTGTGTTTCGTGGGAGCTCGAATATTCCGAAGCAAATATCTCCAATTTGTCACATCTATAAACATCCATTTTTTTCAGTAATGGCCATTCGGTAGTGTGCACCCCGGAGTAGAAACTCTTCAGTTTTGGTAGCTTATAAAGGTTCAGGTATGTCACTTGAGGAAATACAAACTTGATGTTTATTTCTGCCTCGGTGATTTCAGGTTCAAATATTTCTTCTAGTGAAGCACACTCAACTATTTGCAAATTTTTCAGTCTCTGAAGCCTTCCCTGCACATTAAGTGGGAAAATGCTTGATAGTTTAACACAACTATGCACTTCAAGGTGCTTTAATTTGGAGAAAGAGTTGATCTCAAGTTGATCATCCCATATCCTCTCCATGTTCCCCATGTCTTCCACTGTCAACTCCTTTAACAAAGGTAATGACACCTAAAAATATCATACGATTTCGTTAATAACAGAACACAGTTAGGTACATGAAAAGAGATGACAGAGAAATGGTGAGAAAGCCTAACCTTATCACTGAAAAAGGGTTTAGCGGAGACATTGGAGGTGTCCTTCGCAAGAATCTCTGAATATCCATCACCAATGTTCACAACCTGAGGCTGGTTTGAAACAGTAGATGCAAATGCAACCATCTTTGCACAGCTAACTAATTTAACTTCTTTCAAGTTTGGACATTCCAATGCAAAAGTTCCCAAATAAAAGCATGTCATTACCGAACAAGACTTGATAGTTATTGTTTTAAGCTGAGGGAATATGATTTTCTTTGGGGTGGATTTGTCATCTCTGATGATTTCTTCAATTCTTCTGCATTTTTTTACTTTTATCTGCTGCAGTTGAACAAGATCCTTAGCCATGGAAGCAGTTAATAGGTATCTCAAGTTGTTACAGTTATACACTTTGAGAAATTTGAGTCTTTTGAAATCTACAATTCCTTGAGGAACTGTATTCCAAATTTCCTCCAACTGGGGAAGCTTATGAAGTTCCAAATGCTCTGGTTCATAATATCTTACCTATTAAAACCAAACATATTGCAAATGTTATTGAAAATAAGAAGAAAAAAAAGACTACCATATTCTTTCTTTAACTGAAAAGAGAGCTAAGTACCGTGTTTTCGAGCAACTGGCATATGGTGGTATTGAGGTCTCCAGCCCAAAAGCCCTTATAGTCCTCTTCTGACAGCTGCACTCTGTGTAACTCTGGGGTGATCAAACCCTCCCTGACAAAAGATCTTCAATTTGGGACATTGTCTTACAATAACTTGTTCCAAGGATGGAAACTGAAAGTTGTACTCCTCTGAACAGAAGCTTGCGAGGTTAGGTAAATAATGAAGCACCAAACATTTCAACTTGCTAAAACTGATCATGTCTTTTGCATCATCTTTCCCTTTTGCAACTATTTCTCTCACTGTACTGCAGTCTCTGATCCTCATTTTTATCAGTTGCATCAGATTTCGAGCTGCTGAAGATGTGATTAAGGCAACAGCATAGCACTGCCATAGGTCCAAAATTTTGAGATTTCGAAAGGATGCCAAGAAGGGTCCCAAACCGATCAAACCCTCACATCTTCTAACTTCAAGAGTTTCAAGATTTGGGAAAACATGGTGTATTTGTGAGTTTTCATCCCCTAAATGGGTGGGGTTAGGAAGACTAACCTGTTCCTTTTCACTTGCATTTCCTTCACCACTGAAGTTCGCTTCGAGATCACAGTAAATCACAAATGGGAACAGAACTGTTTTGTCATCATTGCCAAGCACTTGAAGAACTTTCATTTGGCTGAAGATGCCTATCGGAACTTGACGATTGCATATTTTTGAAATGTGTTTGCTTTTTAAAGACAATTCCTCCATATTACGAATCACCTAAGAATCCATCAAAAGAGACTAGTTAGAGTTAGTTTATAGCAAATTGACATTAACTGCATGTTGAAAATTGACAACTTCAATCTTCATTTATAGGCACCTCATCAGTTTGCACATGAATATAGGATATTGCAGATTCGTACCTTTTCGATCAAGACGAGTGGCTTTTGAAATGAGGACAGATGTTCTTTCGTCCCAAATACTTCTACCTGGCCACAATGATAAGTCTTCAACATTTTTAACTTTGGCCATTCAGTTTCATGAGCTGCTGGGTAAAAGTATTTCAGTTGAGGCAGGTTACAAAGCGTAAGACAGCGTGCTTCAGGAAAGGAAAACTTATTAACATGGTTCAATCCATCCTCCTCTGAAACAATCTCTTCCATTCCACATGAATTGATTGTGAGATCCACTAGTTGTCGTAGACATATTGCCACTGATGCTGGAAAAAGACTTTTCAGACTCCAACAGTCTCGAACATATACGTTTCGTATATTTTCAAAGGCACTGATGCTAGAATCCTCATTATATATATGTTTCAGCTTCGAAAGATGAGATTCTCTCGACTGAGTGGCTAACTCGATGTCCGATGACTCAAAAATATGTTGTAGTGAATCACAGTTGACAACTATTAGAGTTTCCAGTCCCTGGAAATTCAACACCATCTTGGATGGGAAAATGGAAAATAGCTCATTACAATATCCAACCTTCACTTCTTTTAGTTGGCTAAAGGAATCTGTATGCAGTTGGTTGTGCCATAACTTCACAATTTCCAAGTGGGAGATTTTCAACTTCTCCAGCTTAGGAAATGCAACCTGCGTAATTTCATGCCAACGAGTAAAATGTTACAAGAATTAATTCACATAATCTATGTAAAGAAGGTAAATGAGAATTCAGACTGAAGAAAAATGGGGAATTGTTCACCTTTGCATCAAAGAAAGCTTGTGCACCTAAATGATTATCATTCTCTTTGTTTATTTCTGGAGTTCCATCGACAGTTGTGATGTCTGTGATCTGAGATTTGTTCATGAATTCCTTCATTTGAGGGCAACTATCTATCTCCAAAAGCTTCAAAGACGGGAATTCGAGAAAATAATCCTTCGAGCAGAACCCGACTAAGTTCACCAATTTTTTCATTTTCAGGGAATTTAGTTTGTGGAACACTATCTTGACAATCTTTTCTTTTTCTTCCTCTTTCTCTTTCTCTTTTCCTTTTTCTTTTTCTTCTATTTCTTTTTCTTTTTCATTTTCATTTTTCTCTACATCATCTGGAACCATAATCTCTCTTATACACTTGCAGTCGATTACCTCTAATCGTTTGAGTTGCAATAGGCGTCTAGTGATAGACGGCGAAAACAGATGTTTAAGGTTACTACAACCCTCAATAGCCAAGCTTGTCAAAGTCTGACTACAACATGATGGTTTCTGCCATAACCTTTCTATGCTGATGGAGGACAATCTCAGGTTCTCAAGGACAGGAAATAAAATCTACATGCATATACACCATTTCAGTAAAATTTAATCTTTCTTTTGAGTTTATAAGAATATGTTTCTATAATTGAATGAACATGATATATATGGTAATACTAGTACCTTTTCATTGAAAAGTATCCAAGACCTTGAGTTCATCGGTTCGAGTTGATAAATGGATCGACTCTTCTCTTTGGAGCAGAAACTACTAAGCTCTGGTAGAAGTTGCAGTGTTAAGGATTGCAATCGGCCGAAATCGGCTTTATTGGTTGCTGTACCAGAACTCTGCTCTCTTTCTTCAGCAACAATTTCGTCAATGCTTTTGCACTTTGAGACTCTAATTTCTTGAAGTTGGACCAGCATTTTGGTCATGGAGAATGGAAACAGATTCTTCAGCCGATCACAACATTCGACACTTACGATTTTCAATCTCTTGAAACATTCGAGTTTGCCTTGACATATCTTCTCCAAATTAATCAGATTCTGAAGAAACAATGATTCCAGAATAGGGAAGGCTTTATGTGAAGCTACCTCCATGGAGTTAATAAGGAACTGTATTTCGGAACCATTTTGTACTTGGAGATTCTTGAGTTGTGGAAAACCAGTTCCATCCACCTCATACAGCAAATTCTTGATACCTTGCAATTCATCTAAAGTTAGATCTTCAGTTTTCTGCAACAACTGTTGTACTCCGCGATCCAAGTGAAGTCCATTAGTAAGCTTGAGTTTCAGCATCCTCTCCTTTTCATACTTCCCTGACCAGTCCCAGATTTCCCCAATAAGAATCTTGTACCGGTTCAATCTTTTGGAGAATAATTCTTCTGGCATATCTTCAACAGAATGAATATGGACTTCCAAAGCATTTAGACCAGGCAAAGACTTCAATTCATTAAGGCTGGCATTGCCATCGGCACCCCATCGATCGAAGCTGTTGCGCATAAGCAGTTCTTCTAAATTAAACATGCCTGATATGATGTTGGCTGGAATGACTTTAAGCTTGGAACAATTGCTCAAGTCTAGGGACTTAAGCCTGGTTAGTGTCCCTATTTCCCGGGGCAATATCTGAATATCAGAACTGAGAATTTTAAGGGTATCCAATTGCTTCAGACTCCCAATAATTGCAATGTCATTCAACTCACATTCATCGAAACGCAACATTTGAAGGTTTCTTAGAGAAGTAAAAGACGAAGGCAGGGAGCGAAAATTCAAACCAGCCAACTCTAACGTCGAGAGTTCAGTCATCTTCCCAAAGAAAGCATCTGGGACTTTTAATGATGGTCTTTTGTTTAACAAAACCAGCAATTTTAGCTTGGGGCATTCCAACTGGTCGGGAAGCTCATCGATGTCACTGTATGGAAGCGAGATAGCACTGCAATATCTGAGCTTTCTTTTCTCTAGAAGCTCTTTCATACGGACTTCATCGTCTATGACAAATATTCCCTGCTCTTCAGATGCAATCCAAATAGCGACATCACGAACAATGACATGCATTCTCACAAGGTTATCATTGTTGATGCTGCGGAGTAGTAAACCTGCAGCTTTGAGGTCGTTCACACTTTTTCTTGCTTCTTCCAATGTGCTCACATTTTTATTTATTTTCAAACACAAATTGTACCTTAATAAGTCAGATGCTTGAATGTGAGAACCTTGGGGCAGCAAGGCACAGAGCTGGAACAAGGACTGCAACCCTGATTTCTCTAATAATCTGTAACTCAACTCTATGGTAGAGTAAACACTTGCAAGGTGTTCATCTTTGGTCGGAATTGGACCCGTCTCACTTGCCAAAGCATCCAATAGGAAACTAAAGGTTCGTATTCTGAACTTCATTGTAATTGCAATTGCTGAAATAGCAACTGGTAAACCTGCGCAGTTTTTCACCACTCGCTTCATTGTACTTTCATAAGCGGGGTGCATGTGCATTGCTATACCGCCCACCATTTTTTGAAACCACTTCATCGCTTCTTCATTTGGTAGCACTTCCAGTTTGTGCATGCTTTCAGTTTTCATATCACTGAGTGCTTGTTCGGTTGTGGAAGTCAGCAATACTTTGAATCTAACAGCAGAGAGTTTCCGAAAAGCATTTTCACTGGTATTTCGCATCGATAGTCCGGCATCGTCTTCGCTTGCAATACTCTTGTAACCTTCAAAAGCAATCCCAATTTCTTCTAGTTCCGTTCTTTGGTCATGCCAAACATCATCTAGAATTACAAGAACACTCTTATCTCCTTTCTTCAACCACTGCTGCAGCCTCGTTGCTCTTAAAAATAGGCTCTCGTCATCGAACTTCAGGCCTAAGGCATCTGCAATTTTCCCTTGAATTTCTTTTACGTTTCCTTTCTTCGAAACAGTTGCCATTGCAACCTCATCAAACAAGCTTTCTTCCCTGGCTCTCCTGGCAACCTCTTTCACGAGTGTGGTCTTGCCTACACCAGTCATCCCCCATACACCGATGATCTTGGGATGAGGATTTTCCAGGGCATTCATGATCTCCTTGAGTGTAGCTTCCCTTGATGGAAAAGCTTCGAAATCTTGAACAATCCTAGGTTCGGTCTCCAGGTAGTCCGTCCTCGGCTCCTCAGCAGTCCTCGGCTCCTTGGCAGTCCTCGGCTCCTCGGCAGTCCTTGGCGCCTCAGCAGTCCTTGGCTCCTCGGCAGCCCTTGGCTCCTCAGCTGTCCTTGGCTCCTCGGCAGCCCTTGGCTCCTCAGCAGTCCTTGGCTCCTCAACGACCCTCTTTCTGGTGAACTCGAATAAAGATGCTTCCACAAGGAGCATTGCAACACTTTGGAAGTTCTCTTCAGCTTTCTTGTTAAGCAAGTCAATAGACTTCAAATTAGGACACAGGCCAAGGAAACACCTCTTCTTTGCTTGTGCTTCGAGGTTCTCCAATATCTCTTCCTCTTCCTTGATTGTCTCCTCCGCATGAATCACCCATCTCCGGACATCTTGGTTGGTCTCTTCTTCATTAGCGACTTCAATCAGACGCTGCATTCTATCCCTTTCATATCTCAGTTTCTCAATTTGTTGCTTCAGATTCTGAATACTCTCGGGCTTCGACATGTAACGCTTAAACCCAGTGAGAAACTCCATTTTGTTCAAAATCAAAGTAGCAGCGAATGAATAGCAATATTATAGAGCAAAAGGAGTTTCAATGCAAAGAAGACGAGGCGAAAGCAAGCAAGCATCAAACAGTAAAACAAAGAAGTTAAAATCTAAAAGTGTAGAAGTTAAATCTACCACTGATTTTTTTTTCATATCCCTTAATTCAATCTCAAGCATAAAGTGGAAGCTCCACATTTTAAATTAAAATTATTCAAGAAAAGCAAAACCAAAAGAGAAAGGCATATAATAAAGTTGTTTAAGTTATCATCCCAAAAGAATGTTCTTTACTTGTTTCTCAAGTTAAACTTTGAAACATCCTGCAAAACTACAGAGCAAATGGAATTTCAATCGTGCAACGAAACTAACTTGATCATGTCAATAATTGGAGGTACTATTCATGAAATAGAGTAGAAAACAAGGGATCCTTCATCTTCTGAAAATGTTGAGCACTAAATGAATTAAACGGCGGCGTTTTATATCAAGGGGAAAAATTAATGGCCCATGCAGGTCTCGAACCTGCAACCTTCGCGTTATTAGCACGACGCTCTAACCAACTGAGCTAATAGGGCATTAGTTTCATGTCTAAAATATTTGTAATTCTACAATACATAAAACAGGATTGATTTCCTTTTTTTCCCTTTCATTCATAAAACATTTTTTTAGTTTGTAAATAAAATGAGGATTGTTTTCTTCCTTTCTTATTTACAAGGATTTCAATAATCATATTTTGATTATTAGTTAAATCCATGAGTTGTGATCCTTTCATTTGTGTTAAAAGTTACTGAAATTTTTTAGATGTTGCTCTCCAAGTTCAAAATTTATTTATATTTTGCTTTCTTATATGCTTATTAATTTATATTTATGTTGTTTTAATCTTTAATAATATGTGATAGCTCTTTAAATTTATTTATAAGATTGAACAACGAGAATATATGTTGAACATCAAGTGACCTTAATAGTAAAAAGAAATGTTGTTTTTAGTAGAGTTTCTGGATCCGAACAGTTGTTGCAGGCCTGCAGAGTACGTGTGCGTTATCAATTAATTAAAAAAGTTTTAAACACATGTTACCTAGACTATTAAAAAAAATGTTAATCGTTTCTTCTTTAATTCCGCGCAATATGTTTAACCAACGATAAATGAACTAATATATACATATATTTGAATAGTTTGGTACGACTATAAGATATATTATTTATTCAAAATTTTCTTAACTTATTGACAACGTAGAGATAGTCTACATGCCCAACCGCTTGAACTTGAGACATCTAAAGAGAATAATATTTCTTCTTATAACTGAAACTACTTGATGTATATATATGTTTGAAGGAGGTATTAAATAAACTCACCTTATTAACAAATCTAGTCCACTTTAACTAGGTTAGCTCTTAACGCTATATTTTGATTTAATTTTGATCATCCATCGTTAAAAAATAATAAAATTGCTGATGTGATTTTTTTCAGTGAAAATAACATTATCTTATATATTCATATGATATTGGACAAAGGTGCATAGCCAAAAAGAAGATGCTCGAATTAGAAAATGTCATCAACTTTCCAATATTTCCGCAATAGTGCTTGCCACCAACCATGCATCCATTTCGAACCCTAAAACAGCCTAATCAGATTCATTCCCTTCAACCAAATCATGTCAATATCCTATTTCCTACCATTATTTATGAGCACACGAATCAAGCGATCTTAAAAGATAAGAGACCTTTTGTTATTTCTTGGAGTCTCGGTTCAAACATAACATATGTAGGAATATGAACATTCAATCATTGTTAAATGATTAAAGGTCTTTGAACAGTTATTATCTTGTATTCATCCGATTTATAAAAAAAAATTATATTCCTTATTATAATAAGACTGGGTTAATTCACCAAACAACCCCAAAGCATGTCATGATTCTAAAATAGTCCTTAAACCTTAAAAAAATATAATTAAGTCTTCAAATATTAATGTCGTACTAATAAAGTACTTTGTCGGTATGATATCAACTTTGGTATTAAATGCTAGCTTGGATCTAAAGCACTTGATTGATTTAATTAGATCAAATAAAAAGATCTGATAGTTGTTTCCGGTGAATACTCGTAAGCCTAGCATCAACAATTGTCTTTACTGTTGTATTACTACGGTTTGATCAAATTTAGAAAATATTTTTGACAACTCAAAACCAACAAATTCTTGTTAATTTTTTTTAAAAAGCTTAATGAAAAAATAAATGTTCAAACTATACTCTTTGTTAACATTAGGTGGGTGACCGATTAGTAGATTGACGATGACAGATGAGTGGTCGTTCAGTCGTGGAGATGGTGGTCAGAGATAGTTGACGAGGCTGGTGATGGGGTTTAAAATTAAGAATTTTAAGGTTTTTTGTGATTTTTTTAAAAATTGGGTTTTAAAAAATAATTTTTAATTTTTTAAATAATTTTAAAAATATATATATAATTAGGACATGTGTTAGATAACGATTTTTTTAATGACCGTTATGGTATATGTACCTAAAAGTGTATCGCTGAAAACATTAGACAACTACTTTGAGCAAAAAAAATTTAGACACATATTTTGAGTAAAAAAATTATTTAGGCACCTAAAGTTAACTTAATACGTAGTTTGTGTACTTATTTTTTCATTAAATCTTTTTTAAAAGTGTTTAAATATAATCTTCTAAATATACACTTATTCATAAAATGAAGACAAGAAATATACATGTGCATCATTCTCGTCGTTCAATCGGCTCGTGTTTGTGCAATTACGTATTGAAGACACATACAGCTCGTGTTGTTTTTTTTTTAATAAATTCATACAATTTTTTACTCAAAATTTTCTTTTTTTTTATTTCTTTTCATTTTAGTCTTGGACGATGCCAGTTGGAGAAATCGACTCGTGCACTTTTTCCAAAAGGGTACCATTTTAGTAAATAATGTTGTTTGAGTACCATTTCAATAAAAAAAAAGTAAAAATGTATTATTCCAATAAAATTGATTTAAAGTATGTTTAATCTAAACTAGAGTAATACAAAAATGGGTTAAGATCGGAGATTGACTTAAGGGTGTTAGGCGTAGTCACACTCTTAGAAAATTTATTTTTTATATAATTTGAATATTTTCGATTGATGATATAATTATATTTTCTTTGAAATTTTATAATTTTATTTATTTTTTATACAATAATTTTATTCTTTTAAATATTTAATATATATTTTTAAAATTTTATATTCCTAATATAAAATCATGCATTTGTGAAGAGTGAATAAATATACGGTAAAATAAGCAATAAAGATATTTGAAAGCAAGCAAAGTGAACAAATATACGGAAAAGTAAGTAATAAAGATATTTGAAAGCAAGCAATATTCACAAAAAAGAAACAAAGAGATCAAAATGGTTGAAGGCTGCCAACTTGGGCAGGTAAAGGGTGGAAATTTTGTTTTTAAAGTAATTTAATTTTATTATTTTATTACATTTTTTCAAACATATATATTAGCTTTTATGTGATCTTTAGTGTTAAACTTAAAGTTATGATGACTACTCATAAATTGATATGACAGATAACTATAGTTATTTATTAATAGATTCTGCTATAACAAATCACATAAATCTACAGAGATTATGTCGAGAGACTACAATTTCTTTAAAAGATGTGGACATCGACTTTACTAAACTTAAGAGTATAGGAACCTCCAAAGATCTTAAAGAATTACGGAAACGTCAAGACAAACCATATGAAAAACACAACATCAAGAGAATCTGTTCTGGAGGAGATTCAGAGAAGGCATAATATAACTATATTTTAAGAGCTTAAATACGATTATTCTAAAATAAGGTAATACAAAAAGAGGTTAAAAGTTAAGGATTGACTTCAGGGTATTAGAGGTAGTCACCCTCTTTTAAATTTTAATTTCGTACATATAATTTAAACATTTTTTCTACACTTTTTATTGATAATATAATTATACATCCTTAAAGTTTTCTAAATTTATATCTCTAAAATTTACAATATAAATTACTAAAATTTTATACTTCTAATATAAAATCATAAACCCTAAATTATAATCCTTAAACCTAAACTCTAAACCCTAAATCTTAAACTCTTAACTGGGATAAAGAGAAGCGTACAAATATAATGTAAAAGAAGCCAAAAAGACATTTAAAAGCAAAGGCGAGGGGAAGGAGAGTTATGTGATGAAATTTGGTCCATTCACAAAAAGAAACAAAGAGATCAAAAGAGTTGAAGGCTGCCAACTTGGGCAAGTAAAGGGTGAAAATTTTGTTCAAAAATCATTTAATTTTCCCACTTTACTGTATTTTCCCACTTTATCGTATTTTCCCTCAATCTCCAATGTCTTATCCATTTCTTGGAGGAAGATGCCAATCCACAACGATCCAATACCTGTTCCTACTTGTTGACCCAACACAAATGCTTCCAAAAGCCAATTGTGAAGCATCGGGCATTGGCTAATTATAATAATAGTAAAAAATAAAACCCCAAAGCTGCCCCTTTGACAGTGAAGTTCATGGAAACTGACAGCAGGCCATGGATGCTAGCTGTTTTTCCCCTTTACTTCATGACCCATTTTTACAATAATGTGGTACATATAATTTATTTAGGGTAAACTAATGTTTAGTATCTAAATTATTAATTTTGATCAATTTTAATATTTAAACTTTTATTTTTTTTCAAAATCAAACTTAACATTTAGTTTTTGTTTCATTTGAGTACCCCACTATTAAAAACTTAATGGACAGGATGACGTGGCATAGCTCTGGTGGACGAACGACTAATCTGAACGGTGGACCACGAGAGAATGACAATTCGACCAACATAGTCTAATTTTGGCCCATCGGACGACAAACCATGGAGATCGAAGGATGAAGAAATCGAAGAGTTCATCGTCGATTTGGGGAGAGTGAGGTGTTACTTGTTGAAACGGAGGTCTAAATCGTATTTAGGGGATCAATAAGGTGCGGGCTAGAAAGTTTGGGCTTC